ATCAACCAACACAATATGAAGAAGAAACGAGACTTCTTAAATGCATCAACATCCTCCATAGTGCTACACTACCTCCCTAGGTTGCATATTACTATAGAGACTGTCAATTCAAAGCATACTGAGCAGGCAATTGCAAGGAAACACGTACTTGGAGCCCTCAAATTTAAAATTTTGGACAGTGGACTAGGCTCCAAGCACACAAACAGCCAAACATTCACCCGCATACATAATCGAACACCCCCCCCCCCACACACACTTAAGCACGACATTGTCCTCAATGGAGGAAAGATAAGGAGGGTTGAACGAAGTTACCAGATCAAGGGTGAATGATGATGTACGGGTCAGGCAGTGCAGTCCAGGAAGAGAGAGTAATCAGAACACAAACACCACACAAAATCTCACAAAGGTTGAGTTATTGACTCTAAAATCAAATAACAAAACTGACTCAACCGAGGAGAAATAGAGAAAGAAATGCAAACCGACTGGTTGGGTTGCCTCCCAACAAGCGCTTCTTTCACGTCGTGAGCCGGACGATGGCTCCTAAGTTTCGGTCCATGCTAGAACCTCCTTGAAGTTGAGGTTCTCGTCGATGAGGTGGAGTCTCAAGTCACGAGCATGTGGTGTGGCAGGTGATGAAGGCTCATGTACTTGATGCAGATGAAGTCTCCACCCTCGAGACCTCTTCTTCTCTTCTCTCGTCTCATTGCCCCAAACCAGATATGACAGCATCGATTGGCCACCATCGCGTCCACCAAGAGGGACCGATGTCGATGTGGCCTTGGTCTGGCAAAGAGACACTGCAAATGGGTCCTTGCCAAGCAATTCCTCAAAGTTTGGTGGGGATATTACTTGCAACTCATGGCCGGTGCATGCCTCTTCCACCTCAACTTCATCCTCAGCCTGGACGCCAATTGCTTCCTCAACCCCCCTTTCTTCTTCAAAATGTGGTCTCTCCCCTGGGAAAAGATCAAGAACCACCTCTTCTTTTCTTTCTTCCTCATCATCCACAACTTTCTTCCTCATCCTTGCTCGCTCTTCTTCTTCTAGAACAGATTGGAGAGCAAGTCGCCAAGCAATTTCTTCAATGGGATCATCTTGCATCTCCTCGCACGGGCCCAACATGTTAGAGCATAAATGAGGAAAGGTGTGGTCTGCAACCAAAGGACTTTCCTGATCATGGTTATCATGGGAGTTCTCTGTGATAACTTCTGTATGCTCCTCAACGCTCCCATAGCCTTTGTCATCCTCCACCTCTTCTAGCGTGGCAGCAGAAAGGTGATCTTGAGCAAGATGTGAGCAAACTTTCTTCACCCACTCTGTTTGCTTCGCTGAGCGCTGAACAGTCTCCTCCATATCATGGAGAAATGAGGGATCGGAAGTGGCAAGGGCTTTGATTTGAAGATCCATCTTGGAGCATGATTTCTCAGTGTCTCGAGCAAACTGCTCCACAAGAAGCCTTAATTGTTCGTTCGGATCCTCCATTGAAGTGTAGCATGGCTCTTCAGAGTGGCCCGTGAAGGCCGCCATGGGTAACTCCAGCTCCGATGGCCCTTCTGGTTGTGGGAGAAAGTCTTCTTGGTAATGAGGTTGTTCTTGATATGCCCAGGGGTCTGATTGTTCTCCATAGTAAGGGGGTTGGTACTGGAACCCGAATCCATAGTCTTCTCCTCCTTTATTGCTGCAGGGAGTCGCGGGGTAATACCACCCGGATGGTGGTGGATACCCCCAATGATTGGAGAAGCCATTAGGATCCATGATTCAGATCTGCACCAACAAAAACAAAAACACCCAAGTGAAAAGCAAGGGTGGAAAAGAAAAGAAAAGAAAAACGCTAAAGTAACAAACTTCTGCCTTTCCTAACACTCTAGAAAGTCCCCGGCAACGGCGCCAAAAACTTGATGCTCTAAAACACAACACCTAACAATGGCCAAGTGTAACCAATGAAAGGGACTGCAGTATAGTGGCACTAGTAATAAATATCGAATCCACGGGTCTCTAGAGTTACTATTACTCAGCTTCAGTTCATTATCTAGCAAACTAGATTAAGGATTGATTAACTGAACTACTCTACTAACTAAACTAAGTAAAACTACTAATTACAGTTTGGGAACTCACTTAGGTATGATTCCCCCTAGCTCCTCAATTAGGTTCAAGTTGTAATTCAGTTTGGTTGATTTACTGTTGATTAAACTGCGAAAGATCCGACAGTAGCTTGGAATCTCTTAAGCTGACCAAGCCCTCTCAGTCTAACTATCCGGCAGACGACTAGTCTTCACCGGGATAGAAAGCTGAAGCAATAAGCACAGAAATCCACTACTGGAATTGGATTCCAGTGCAAAGCAGTAAACTGGCTAACTCTCGTATAACCAGTCTCCTACTATCGAATGATGAGACTCTAGCAACCTAATCAGATTCTATCTATCTCAGATTGCAGCAGGAATCAGGAAAAGTTGATCAGACTTCAATTGACTCAATAAACATGCATCATTCGATTATAATTAAACAATATAGCATCCAAAACTTCATACAAGAAAGATCCTAACTCATGGAACTAGGGTTCCTCAAAACCTAAGTGAAGGGAAGTTACTCCATAGAGAAGAGAGAGACTGCAGAAATCTGATCTAGATCTTCAATCTCCATCTCCAAGCTTAATTCCCGAGCTCCAATGGCGAAGAAATCCTCCAAAATAGCTCCAAGAATGTTCCCAAGTCGCTCTCTCTCTCTAGGGTTCGTCCCTTGGGTGTTTTTGGGATCCAAAACCCAGCTCTCCCTACTCTTTGGTTCGGAATTTGGCTTAAAACCAGGAAATCCCGACTCGCACGGCCAGGGTGCACGGCCGTGCATATCACCATTCTGGTCGTGCAACTCAAAACGCAGCGTGTCATTTAGTCGAACTTCAGCCCTCTCGCACGGCCAGGGTGCACGGCCGTGCGAGCTTCAGGGGTTGCCCGTGCGTGTCCTCGGCATAAGGCGCACGGCCATATTGCTCACGTGCACGGCCGTGCAGCCTCCCTGGTCTGCCCGTGCAGCTCCCCAAAAACCTCGCCATTCGTCCGTTCTTCGTCCAATCGACCCCAGACTCGCTCCTAAGCCTTCATTCACGTACTAGGACCTGAAACATAAAAAACAAGCACAACCTAGCGTGAAATCGGCCTAAAACACGAGAATCAACACCTCAAACGGTGTAAGAATGGGGGTAAAAACATGTGTAAATGACGGTCTATCACTTCCACATCAAAGTGAACTTCGTGCAACCCAGTAGCCATGTCTTCCCCCGGGGTCAAGTACCAAACCCTTTCAACCGATAGATAGGACAAATCTTCAATAAGGGTCTTTGTAATCTCAAAGTAAGACATGACATCACGATGAATGTCGATGACGTCTTCCACACCACCAACATACTGCGGAACCGCACCAGACATGTCCATAGCACCTCCATGAACCAAAATAAGCGTAATCACGTCGTCCATCCTGCATGTACACAATTCAAAAAATACAGACAAAGACAAATCAACAACTATTGTTTTATCTCCACTACACAGTCTTCCACATATGGCCAAATCTAGATTCTTGGATTCTATTGTTTATGAAGAGTGAGATTGATTGCTTACCTAGTGGTCCAGAAATTTGCTTTCCCACTGTGGTCCTGATTCTGTGACAGCTTCGCTTTAATCGGCTTTGGAGAAAAGATCGATGGGTGGGGAAGGGCTGTACTGGAAAGCGACTTTTGGAGAAGAAAATGACTTTTGGAGAAGAGAGAGATAGGTGGGGAAGGACTGTTCCTTTTGGAGTGCTGTGCCTCAACAACGCGAATCGCAGAAGAGGAGGGTCTGGGTTAGAAGAAGAGAAGGCGAATCGAAGGGGAAGGGAGAAGGAGGAGTCGGGGAAGGAGGATTCCAACAATCAGCGACGGCGGCGTCTTTAACCGACCGGCCGCCACTGCATTTGCCGGAGAATCGAAGAGGAATTCGTCGGGGAAGGGAGTTCGGGGAAGACGACGGGTCTGAAAGGGGGAGGTAATTATTTCCCGATAAAGATCGATGCGGGAAGATAAGGGATGGGATAATTGCGGCTATTTTTCTTTTATTTTTCGTTCTTTTAATTATTTTTTTAGAGTTATTAATTTTTTCATAATTTTATTGTAAAAAGAAAGAAAAAATAATAATTTTTTATGTCGACATGGCAGATGATGTGTACATTGACTAACGGTCAACAGGTTTGACCATCTGTTTTGACGATCAAACCCGCCTCTATGTCAAATGAGCAAGTTTGCTACAGCCATAGTAGCAATTTTCAATATCAAAGACTAAAGTAGAAAATATATGTATAGTTCGGGTCAAACTAAAATATTAACCCAATTTTTTATCATACTACCCTTGCACTTGCACACCCCCTGAAATCAAAGAAGCTGTCATCGTGTGGCATGGTGGCGGTGGGATATGGAGACAGCTCATCCTAATCACGAATCACAAATAAAGGGATTTGGTCAAAAAAGGAAGAAAGCCGTGTTTTATATCTCTCCTAGTCATACGCCATACCTCTCCAATCTCGATTCTCGAGTAGCATTTATGAATCCGTAGTTGAATGTGAATATGCTTTCGATCTTGTTTAGGCTAGTTTTGCTTTGTGTGTAAGACATGAACTCTTGTTTTTATTAAATAATAATAATGCTTTGGGACAATCAGAAAACATGTGGGTTGGGCAAAATTATATGAATTTATGCGTTCTTTTTTCTTTGCAAGTCATGGCAAGAACCCTTATTACATCCCACTAAGAACAAGTAACTATAACTAATGGCATTATATTTTTATTTTAACGGTAAATATTTTTATTCATAACAAAGTTTGTCTAGATATATAAACTAGTTGGTGAATGTGGATAAATAACTATAAAAAAACTTGAAATAGTGTAGGAAATGGATAAAAAACTTGAAAATGAGAAATGTCAAGAGTCAAAACTAAAATGTGAAAATATAAAATTCCCCAATCCCAAAGGTCTATCGTCGCCACCCGCCACCGCTCCTCCACATATAAAACCAGCTTCGCAGTCGGGTTAAAATGAACCCCAAATCACCGACGGCTGCTATAAACAAAGCAAAAAACAATTCACATATAAAAAACCGAAGACTGCGGCGACGGCGGCGGCGTGGAAAGAAAATGGTGGATCTTAATCAGAACGGCGACGACGATCACCGTCACCACCATTACCACCACCACATCCACATGCCGAAGCGGATAATCCTGGTCCGCCACGGCGAGTCTCAGGGGAACCTGGACACTGCGGCGTACACCCACATACCGGACCACAAGATCCCGCTCACCGAAGCGGGTCGGGCCCAGGCACGGGAGACGGGCGCCCAGCTGCGGGACCTGATCTCCTCCGACTGTGGCAATTCAACAAACACTTGGCGGGTGTACTTCTACGTCTCCCCGTACGACCGCACTCGATCCACGCTGCGGGAGATCGGCAAAGCCTTCGACAGGAAGCGGATCATTGGGGTTAGAGAAGAGTGTCGGGTTCGTGAACAGGATTTCGGGAATTTCCAGGTCGCGGAGAGGATGAAGGTTATCAAAGAGGCCAGGGAGAGGTTTGGGAGGTTCTTCTTCCGTTTCCCAGAAGGGGAATCTGCTGCTGATGTCTTCGATCGCGTTTCCAGTATGTTTCTTTTCTCTTCTGCTTAAAGTTGCTGCCTTTTTATCCTTTGTAAAATTGGTAATTATGTTTTCTACTTTTACTTTTATCAATGGTAATAGTCTTTTTCATTGCATTGTTGGTGCCAAGTGTAGAATGAGAATTGCACACTAGCTTGGTTACTTGTTTGATTAGATGGAAATTGAGCTTGGGTTTTGATCTTTAACTTGTGGATGCATTGCTGTTGAGTTTATTAGCGCAGTAACTGAATCACTGATCCTGCTTGATCTTGATAGCTGATGAAGAAACTGAAATGAAGGACTAGTAAGATAGTTAGAACTTAGAAATGCTAGTGGTAAAGTTTACTTCGAGGAGTAATGTTGCTGATGGGAATATGAACGAAGAACTTGACGAGTGCAGTTTCTATCTTATATGTTGTGGTTGGCCAAGCTTTTAGTATTTTGTGAGTTAGTTCTATTGTAATGGTAAAAGGTGTTGCTTTTCCACTTATTCTTGTTATGGCTTTTAGTGGTGAGTCTTGGTTTATTACAAGGACAAAAAGGGTCATTTGCTTTAAAGCTTGTTCTTCTCAATTTCCGACTGGAGGCTTAGTGTTTGCTTTACTGGTCTCTGGGTATTTTTGGATGAGGTGTGTCTAGGAGTCCAACTTCCTCAACAAGTGATATTGTTCATCAAATAAATCAGTTACATGCTGCAGCCATGAATTAGTGATTTTCCTTATTGACCAGTCATCAATCTCCGAAAATTAGTGAAAGTTGTTTTCATTCAGCCTTTATCTTTTATCTCGAATATAGAGAGAGTCCTTCTTTTCCAGATGTGGATATCTCTAAGGACCGAAGGCAGTAGCATCTTTGTCTTCTCTTCCTCTTCCGTATTCTTTAGAACAACTATGGAGGTCACCCAGCATTTGTGCTAGTTAAACTTGAAACCATACTGTTAGCTTAACCTCTAGGTGAAGTATTTGTTTAAGAGATGGATGCACAATTTCTCTGCCTGAAGTCTTAACTTATTATGTATGTTCGCTCTGTACCAACCATTTACTTTGATACCATTGTAACAGAAATCCACTACTGTGTTTTTGTCAGATTTTCTGGAGTCACTATGGAGAGACATAGACATGAGCAGGCTACACAAGGACCCATCCAACGACCTAAACCTCGTGATCATAACCCATGGACTAACATGTCGGGTATTCCTCATGAAGTGGTTCAAGTGGACGGTTGAGCAATTCGAACTACTAAACAACCCTGAGAACTGCGAGTTCAGAGTAATGCAGTTGGGAGCTGGGGGAGAGTACAGCCTGGCGATCCACCACACGGACGAAGAGCTCCGAGAGTGGGGGCTCTCAGAGGCCATGATCGCCGACCAAAAGTGCCGTGCCACAGCTAGTAAGGCCGGTTGGAACGAGAACTGCCCCTGGTTCCTAGATGAGTTCTTTGACCCTCCACATGAAGAGTTGAGCAAGGAAAATGATGAAGGCTATGAAATTCCTCAGGAGTCGAGTCCCATGTCTATAAATTCAGAAGAATAGAAACCCATGATTCTTTACAGAATGTAGGTTCCTTCTCATTGTTCGTGTGTGCACATACTATGCTTTGTCTATGGGTAGTTGGTAGAAGAAAGATCATCAAATGTAATAGCACGGTCTTTTACAGTGTCCGATTTATATGTTAATGGATTCAGAATTGATTTGTAAAAGGAAAATTGATTGCTTTTTACTCATCATAATAGATGTCCATGTCAATAGGCAACCAAGTCTTGAATCCTTGTGGGAGGTGGATTGCTTTTTTTATCCTGTAGGTTAGGGCAGCAAGGTTGTCAACCCGCGGGTTGACCCGGACCCGGTTGAACTAGTAGGTGAAGGATTAATGGGCCACCCGTTTTACCCTGGAAATATGGAAAGAGTCATTATATTGTACTTATCATGATAAATTATATCAAATATCATCTAACATATGAGTAATAACATATAATATTACACCAAAGTAACATGCCGTACTTAGATCCAACATATAGTGAAAATTCCACACATTTATATAACATCAATGTTCAAATGTTTAACTTAGGATTTCAAAGATTGAGTTAGACGAAAAGAAAAATCGGAAAATAGACGCATTTTGCAAACCAAAGAAAAAAATGACACAATTTAACCTCCAACCCGATAACTTGTAGCGGTTGACCCGCGGGTTGGCAACCTTGCATGTCAGTGAAGGAAAAAATGGTGCATTAGGCAAAACCCCTTTTGGGAAGATGGAAAGATTGTTACTCTTCAGCTTGCCCAAATAGGCCCAAAATGCTTTGGAAGTTGCTTGCGAGCAATGAATTTGCAGAAAATGAACAAACAAGAGAAAATCATTCCGTTTTGGAGATATTTTCAACTTTTTGAGAGTTGTTTTCGTTTTCTACCTTTTTAACTTCAACGGAGATGAGATAATAAATGAAAAGTTTTACAGTGGCATGGGTTTTATCTTGCTAGGCTGGCTCCATTCCAACAGATAACTACCTCTAGCCGTTCCTCCATTGGCCCATTGAATATGAAAAGAAAGAAAGGAAGAAAACCCAAACAGAAAAACAAAGGAGTAAAACCTAATGATTAATCCAAAACATTTTTGAATTAATATTTAACTTTAACTGAACCCACAACAATCTTCAGTCTCTCACTAATCTCTAAAATCTCACAATTCCCCAAAATCGTATAAATCTGTTTCATCTCTTCTCAACTTTTATAGGGATCTGAGTCTACTTCCTGATCCTGCTGCTGCTGCACTCGTCAATTTCATCAAACAACTCAAAGCTTTATTCTTCTTTTACCTTCTTTTTTGTAATACGGTGAAAGAAAGGACCCTTCATTCCTCTTTGACACTTACTAAAACATTTCTATTTTCCATTTCTTACCCTACATTCTTGTTTGAAAGCGTATGGTTATTGGTTGCAGTCAAATTCCAGTTGCTGTTTGACAGATCTTGAAAATGAGTACCCTCCCAGTAGTATCTCCGTAGTTAGATACTCCCAAAATTTCGTGCAGGATCTTGAACTGGGTAGTTCTTACTTCTGCAGAATAGAGAATTGGGTTCTGGAAATTTGTTCTCTTTTTCTGATCCACCCAAAAATGCAGGCCGTCTGAGCTTTCGAGGGTGCTTTCTATTTTGAAGCAAAAGCCAAATAGCTTGAGTTTTTTTAAAGTTATATGGCCATGGCGCATCCTTCGGAGCACTATGCAAGTTCTCGGAGCAGTGGGGCAGTGAGAGTGAGCTTGATTTTGACGACTGTGTTCTTGGCTGTGTATATTTTAATGTGTAATCGAGGGAATTCTAGTTCTCAAGTTTCTTCTTATCCCTCCTGTCCATGTGACTGCGATTGCGCCGACGATTCTGCGGTTTTTGACTTGCCAGCAGGTGAGGGAGATCTTCTAATCCGGGATACTTGCTTTAATTATTAATCTTGCCTGGTTGATCGCTTTCCATTTAGAGCTTGAACTTGAAGCATAGGTGACTCCATTTATATAGAGTGATTGGCTCAGAAAGGGGTATCACGTCTGTGAATTCGTGCTCACTGATTTTAGTTACTCAACTGCTCCTAATCTCTGGATGTCACTTTTTCCCGTTTTGCAGACTCTATCAACAGCTCATATGCAGGTTAGTATATTCCGATACTTCATCTGTTCCTTTAGCCCATTTTCTGCTGAATTCCTCGATATAGTTTTTGTATGCACTGGACTTTGAAAGGAGGGTAGGAATGGAAACCTGAGTTGGAAGGATAATCAGTAGTGAACTTCCATTAGATGCCCTTATGCCTGCAAACTGCAATGTAACATTTTCATCTTGGCTCTTGGAGATTGGTTTAGTCAATGTTGTTTTTGTTCTCCTAACTGCCTTGATCCTCGTCTGCTGCAGATTGCAGTTCGAGCGATCCGGAGATCAAAGAAGAGATGGAGAAGGATAGATTAGCCTTGCTATCTGAAGAAATTGTATTGCAGAAGCTAGTAGCTAATGAGTCACTGCAGCGAAGCAAATCTCTACTCACAGAGAGTGGAATTGTTTACACTCATTACAAGAGGGAAGCAGAGAAATGCATTGCACAAGTGGAGACATGTGAAGATGCTAGAGAGCGAGCCGAGGCTGAACTAAGGGAAGAACTGAAGGTCACAGCTTTGTGGGAGCAACGAGCTCGAGAATTCGGATGGAGCGACAGTGGCAAGAAAAGAGTGCAGTGATCAAAAGTAAGATTTTTGTTCGCAGAGTTACTTGTAGGTGAAAGATTGAATAGAATTGTGTTTAGCTGGGCAGGCTCCATTGTAAAGGATTTAGTAGAGACCAATGGAAAAGGTTCAAACTTTTCAGCATGAAGTGAATAGTGAATACCCTTTTGGTTCTGTTTCATTTTCATTTGAAAGGAAAAGACTCCCGGCAGTGAATCAAGGCGATTCATATTATCTCCAACATAGTGAATAAAAAAGTGGGAAATTCCTGCTTAAAGTAATCAAGGAACTCAAAGATTTCATCTAAATCTACATGGAGTTATTAAAAAAAAAAAAGAGGAATCCCCTCAAGGAACATGAAGGCCATTGATGGCTGGCTGGATTGTAATATATAATGATATCTAAATGGTGATCTAATGCAAGTAATTTCACTTCAGGCTAACATTTTCTCCAAAATATATAGGATAAAACATGCATCTACTTTGACAATGTTACATCCCACGTTCCACCGAAGAGCTTTGAAGTATGCAATCTTGAGGGGTCAAATGAGTGAAGGTGTAGCTTGTAAGAACAGAGAGATGCTTTCATATTTTAAGTCAAGTATATACTGTCCAGGACTGCAAATCCAGCTGCAACTCCTCCTTCGTTCGATGACGACACCTTTGTCCTCATCAAGTAACCGCTTCTCTCATTTACAATAACCTTATCCTTGTTCCTGCAACGCCACAATTAAAGGATATCGAGCATTTTGTTTTAGAGTTGGACATTCATTCTCGGTTGAAGATTAACATACCTCAGATAAGCGCCATAGATTCCAAGTTCCGATACAGCATGATCTTTATGACAATTTCCATCACGCACCAAAAACGTGGCAGAATCTGTAGGAAAGATTCTCTGCATGAGGATGTAGGCAGCATTCTGTTCTTTCCCATCTTTCCGCAGTCTAAGAAGGGCTTCCCTCACATCATCACCATAGATATTATTCCCTGTAAACAGAATATAAAACAATCGCATATGAAAAGCCAATACAATAGGCAATGGATGACGATTAATCCAAAAAGTTAATTCACCTCCCCCTTCTCTTTGGGGCTTCATCACGAATAGATGTGGCTTTTCAATTGCTGTGTCAACAATATCTGCATCATCTAGACTCCAGAGTCCAGCAAAGCATTTTCTTAGCTTGGCAATGTCCTCCTTGTTATCAATAAATCTGTGCAGAAAAAAATGAAAACATCAGAGGAGGAATGAGATGGAGGTTCTCAGCATGTAAAGAGAGAGTTTACTTCTCAAGCACGTTAGGTTTTGCAAGTTCTTGCTGTATCTTCTTGGTTCCTGTTAAATGATAAGATATGGAAGGACACTTAATGGCTGATGAATGCTCCATCAGTAGTCTACCTCTCCATTCCTACAAATAAGTTAATAAGACAACATTACAAACAGAAAGCTTATCCAACAGTCAAACTGATTTAGCGTAGCTCATGTGCGAACCTAAAGCTTGAGAAAATACTTTACGTCAATATGAGCATATCAATTCTCCTTTTAACTATTCAGAGTTACAACCTACCACTAAGGATACAACGTAATTGTGGCAAATAATTTAAGGCTAAATATCATGGAACTTTATCTATCTGCCTCATCAGTTCTCCCATTCAAGATCAGGGTGTGCAGACCCCTCTGCCTATCCTCCATCGAGAGCATTCCTCATATTCAAACACTTGATTCCATCACATAAACAAACTAAAAAATAATGCTTACTGCTTCTGAAGGATAATCAGTTGGTGCATAGCCAGCTCTAAAGTATATGATGGCTATCGCATGGCCACCCCTGCATTTACACATTTTCTAGACATAAGATACCACCACTTAAAAAACAGGATCAACAGAGGGTAGAAACAAAAAACTTCAGAATAATAAATTTGCATGGAAAGACAGTAACATACACAAGAAGTGTTCCATCAGGCTGAATTTCCCCTTCTTTATCAATTTCTGCCATTGTCTTCCGGATCATTGTAACGTTATGTGTGTTAAAAGGTTAAGGAAGAAATTCAAGATATGGTCTCCAAGAAACCACATTTTACTCAACAAAGAATTATCAGAATTCTGAAGTTCTTCAGAGTTAATGGTTGTGTCATGAACAGAATAAAAGGATATCTTTCCTTGAGGTTGAAAGAGAGCCAATGTTGGTCATACATGTTGCGCTCTTCAGGTTGAACAACAACCATGATTACAGCCCTGTCATAGAAATATTCACCACAGTTACTTTAAACAAAGCTTCATCCACAAACACCAATGACACAAAATTAAGTTTGTGAGAATCAGATCTAACTTAGGGTTATTATATTCAATCCAAGCTTTGGCTAGGGCCTCTGAGAACCGATTTGCAGCGTCATTAGATGGTGTACGGTTAACATCACATCCAAGGTGCTCCCCATAATTCTTCAGCAAGCTCCTGAAAAATAAGTACCATTGTGACCCTTTGGTGCAGGCTTTCAATGAAACTGAACACAACTTCAGTGAAGACAAGAGCATCCAAGCATAAAGTAACTCGTTTTGAGAATCAAAAATAAAAAACGTAAGTGTAAACTGACCTGTGAAGCTCACTAACCACAGAACCGAGACCGGGGAATGATGTAGAGATTGTGTTTAGTTCTATTTGAAGCAGAAGCTTAGTTTTTTCATCAAGCATGTAATCCGAACGGTGTAAACCCAATCGTATCTCCTGGCATACCAAGCATTCATATCAGCATCTCCTCACCAACTTGGAAATGAGGAACAGTCCAAATAAACTCCAAAAAGCAAATTTCAATTCAATAATTTCCAATCAAGCTTCACTTGCCTCTTTCTTGTTAATTTCTAGCATCTTTGAATGAATGTCCAGAAGCCTTGAAGTAAAAGCATCAACTTTCTTAGTTCTACAACAAGAGTAACCGGAGAGTCATCATCAATCCCAAGTATCTCGAGCATAGCAAATTCACTCTTATTAGCTACACTATCAAGAAAATAGGATCAGCAAAGCAATGGTAAGAAAGAGCGCACCTGGATAATGACTCCTGCAAGAACTTCCCATCCAAACTCACACGATCAACAAGTTCATTGAAAATCGGTGCCACTTCACACGCTAAATTCCATTGATTTTCTGGGAATACGGTTGGCAACAATGCAAAAGGAGCGTGCACCATCCCAATTCCAGGTACCGTTCCTGATCTCTGTAAAATCAACAGTAACCCAATTACCAAAAAGTTCCAAACTTTAACCGACACAAAAGCTGGCAATATGTGTTGACAAAATTTCTGAGAGAGCTACACTACATTCAACTCATTCGTCAAACTAAGCTTTTTCAGTCCAAAAATTAACAGCCAAAAGAGAAAAACAAGCTCAAAATAAACTTGAATTCGTTTTAAGATCGGAACCTGGACATTTCTGTCACCAACAACAAGGCCATGGAGAGAGCTCCAAACAAGGGCATCGTAGACCATCTTTTGGACCAAATTGTCATCTAGACTGTGCAAATCCAATATGGGTTTAGAATCACTTCCACCTTCAATCTCCATCTGGGTAGTTCTTCCGCACTTCAAAGTCGGAGTCTTTGGAGCAGAATTGAGCGTGAAAAGGCGTTTGGAAATGGGGGATTTTGTGGGTTTCTGGAGATGAGCTCTGGCGAGCCAATTTATTGGGAGGTAATTCGAGGTTGGGTTCGCATGTGCTGATGTATGAGGGAAAGTGATTGAGCAATGGGGATTATTAACAGTGGGAGGGAGAGAAGAAGAGCAGCCAACACCCATAATAATAATCGCGGATTCCTCTTGCTTTCTTTGGTGGCTTTTTCGTTGTGGGACTTGGAAAAGACTGAAGTGATTCTCCTAAGAGGCTTACTAACAATGAGAAGTACGACTTTGGGATATGATCAAGGAGGGAAAAAGGAAATTTGGTACGTTGCTTGTTAACCCGTTTGGACCCGGTCGGTTGAACCTGGACCGGCAATCCAACTGGGTCATACCCGACCACTTTGGCAAAGAGCACAGCTCTGCCGTCGCCGGCAAACACTGGGACAGAGAAAGAATATTGAGCGAAGGAGAGATGGATTGATAGAGAAAGAATGTCGGCCCCAACACCAAAGTGAAAGAGAGCTGTAGGTCGTCGATCAGTGTAGCGCTCCGCACGGACGGGGAGGGAAATCCGGGAGGCGAGAGGAGGGTAGCGGCCGATCCAAGTGGAAGAGGGATTGGGGCAATGGGAGAGAGAGGAGGCGGCCCAAAATAAATACCATATTCAGTCAAAGGCTTTTTTCATCACCTACTTGCCTTTTGCATGAAGCCAATTTTCCACACGATCCCTTCTTGTAATCTTCTGCTTTCTACCCACATCTATCTCCTCGACCCTGTCATTTATGCTCGCTACTTTATTTCGTTGTTTTGCTTCAACGACAAGCAAAACAACGCAAAGAAGTTCCTCCTATGGACCTAGCTTCATGATCTTTTGACATTGTCATCTCAAAACTAACTGATGCATCACTCGTCTCTTCGCCGCAATGAGCTTGAGAGGCCTCTTTCGCCGTCTTGTTTATGATCACCTCTAAAAGAAGCATAAAGATCTCAAGATGAAGTTGTAGAGCCAGATGCATATACTGAGGGCCTTCAGATATTGGTGTTCTCTTTGATCCATCTTGTTGGAACCTGTTTTCTTAAATGGGTTTTGGGAAGATGGGATATAATGGGAGCAGGGGAAGAAGGATTCACTTTTCTTTTCTATGCTTGGAAGCGGTGAGAACTGAGAACATAAACCTCCATGGTTAACTCTAATGAAGCGGATTCTCTTGTCCCTAAAGCAAAATGGTTGAGTGTTGGCCAACTCATGGATTGCTGTGTTGACCAGCATTTATCTTATCACCAAATCCCGAATCCAATTGGATCGATAAAAAAACAAGTCAAGCTTGTTTTGACATCAAGCAGTAAAGATCTTGAGTTTTCGAGATATGATCTAATAACAGTTGCCTAGTTCATGTTCTTCATTATTTCTACTCACTCTACTGACCACTAACTCTGGTCCCTCAGAGCCAAAATTTGACAAGGTAACTCTACAAGCTAATTTGAAAAGTGCAGCAGCTGCATATGAAGACAGTACCAGAATCTCATTGTTTCTGATGTTGAATTCAAGTCTCAGACTTTGCTAGTAGGATCCTACTGGTATACTTGGACCCTTCACGTGGATGCTAGGGTACTACTTAAGAGAAATTCGACCGCAGAGCCGCCAGAAAGCATCTGCATGGAAAAGAGATTTCTCGAATACCCAGATGTCACGGACAAGGACCTAGAAAGTTCAAGTATGAGTGATTAATGGAAAAAAGTTGCAACAAGGCCAAATAATATATGGGAGAACTGATAATTATTTATTCTTGGGACAGAATACGAATGCACTATACCTCCTTGTTCTTGTTACCAGCTATGACAGTACCTTTTGAATCATAAGCCTCAAACTTCTGCAAAGGGGTAAGTAGAAGATAACTGAACCACAAGTTCTCAGAAACACAGAGCAATATAGTCTTTTAAGACTTGCAGGAATATCTCGTTTATCTTTATGGAGCATTTCAAGCATCCTCTATGTAACTGAATTATGTAATGGAACCCTGTAAAACGCATTCTTATACTACGACATAGTTCCAGTCAGGTGAAACTTGGAGAGGCCTATAACCAATAACATAATATAGGCAAAGACCATTCGCCGAAGGAAAACAAAGAATGTAGAACTAAACAAGGGCAGTCTTTACCTGTTTGGTCAAGAACTCAAGCGTTAGTTGTATGAACGCTTTATTGAGATCATTTCTATCAACACCAATCTGCCATCAAACAAGCAGAAATGCAAGTGTTGGGTTAGCACAAAAGAAAGGAGAAATAACTGCTGGAATACAATGAAAAAGCTGTGTGACACTAAGCTACAACTCCAAATTAACTGGCAATGGTGTATGTAAGCTTTTTAATATAAGTCGAGAGCAAATACGTGCCAGTCGGGCTCTCAAAGTTCGTATCTTGACAACTGGTTCAACCATTTCCCAGTATATTCTACTCCACCTCGATTCTCTGTTCTTAATCTCATTTTTAAGTTCCTGCAAGTGGAAGTGAAAAACAATAGAAACACATGGGATTTCACACATTGAGAGAGACAGGATGGGGGAGAAAAGAATAGTTATGCTCTATTAAGAAGATTGTAGAGCAAAACAGCCTACCGAGTACATTTTCTCTGTAACTGCTTTCCTAATTGTGGTTTTATCGCCATGCGCCAGCAGAATGTTTATCTGAGGAAGAAACAGGAAACACGAACAATAACACCAGTAAATCGAAGTTCATGCTAATAACAAGTATTTGACAATAGGATGTAAACTGACTTCTTTGTATAACTGAATGGCCTCTTGGTAGAACTTGTTTTTGGAATATCCAGATTTCCTTAACTTAGAAATTGCATAGGCACTTTTCATCTGCAGAAAAGAAAAGGAAAAAACACTCAACAAAACTATGTTGGTTCAACTGTTTCATTCGTGGAACAGACGAATCAACAAAGACTTATGCAACCTCTACGATGATATCCTCTTTTGTTCTTCTCCAACCGCTTCTGGTGAACCATCTGAAACATGGAAAACATAAACAGGAACGAGATCATGGACTGAAGAAGCATTTTTCATTCCTACATACAGATTACAGCTGTGTTGAACTTTAACGTAATCACTTTACTTCGTGGGTTTAAGCAAAGCCCAAAGCAGCCCTCATCACTTACCTATTCCAAAACGAGATTCGTTCACGTGGTGCATAAGGTTCATGTATTAGCCCTGGACTTGACATGGAAACTTGAGCTCCCTGCAACAAAATTGGTGCAAAGTGTAAGTCTCACACAATTGAAAGTGTACTTCATCCAGAAATATGAATACCAAATGCTTATCAAACTAAGCTAATGAAATTATTGGACTAAAATACATGGAAAAGGCCAAAAATGGAATACCATGGGTCGTGCTTGAGGTGGTGCTTTAACCTGCGATGTAGACATCCTCCTCTCAATCACATAAGTTGGCACCTCCGTTGCCTGAAATAAAATAGAACGTAACAACCTTATAATTAAAGGGATATATGAACTCTTTCAGCAGATGAACCAGCTAGAATGATCATATCTACCATTGAAGAACGCAGTGTCACTGAACTTGTGCGAGTCCAAAGAACATCATTGCACACCTTAGACAAGCATGGTGAATATCTGTAGTAGTCAAGTCCAAGACCTAATCAAGCAGTAAAACAGTCAGAAAACAAACGAGGAAAAAATCAGCTCAATGTCATTGCATGGCAGTTAAACAGCAAAAATGTAAAACGTTTACCATTTGAGATACCACTATAGTAGCTTCTTGTGCTTGGGAGCCTGAGGGCATGAAAGACAGCAAAAGTGTCAGTTACTAAATGGAAAGACTATCAAAGGATATGAACCCTTTTCCTCCACAACAATCAACAAAATAAGCAATGCAGAATAAGACATAGCATCTGGTTCATTTTGCGAATAGTAGAGGATAAATGCTAACATTTTGAATATGAACAAGCTGCACGCCACTACAATCTTCATATGTTCATCATAAATAGGAGAAAATCATTCTATTTAGGAACGAATCCAACATAATTAGATGGGTTTTAAATCCCAGCTCGAAAAGGTGAAGCCTTAACATCTAAACCCGCAAAACTTGAACTGGAAACACATTTATCGATACCTCACTAATCCGCAGATTGCTGAAATCTACAAGAAAATACAAATAAGCAAATAAGAATGCAGAGTAAGTTCCTGATCATTACTCACCTATCAGAAATTCAAACAATATAAGAAATTTGAATTCGACCAAGCTTCTCGCTAGCATAACAGCACGCACATCGATTAATAAATAACAGAGCTACCATTATTCATTTACTAGGGTTCAGTCCATATAGCATAACGGGTTTTTCATCCTAGATTGAAAAGGTGAAAGACTTTCCAGTTTGGAAACGCATAAAATTCACTTTCAGCCAGTTTCTGGCCACAGCCAAAGTGCCCAACACAAGAACACGAATCTCGACGAGTACTCACAAAGGCGAAGATTGACAACTCTCAAAGGAAGAGAGAAGGGCTCGAATTGACGGAAATCTGCTGCGAAGGGCCATTTCCTGTTGAGATTGATATCTTCCCCGAAAGCTTCAAAAAAGAAATTCAGCAAGCTGGAGAAGCTGAGAAGGGAAATGGATCCCGATCGGCGATCAGGCAGGGTTTTTGCTGTTGTTCATGTTTTACGAGAAAGAGGGGTTTAAGGAAAAGGAATGGAATAGAGGCGCAAAATTTCATACATTGGGCCTGCCCGGTCGGCCTATCTTAACTATCATGGCCCATAGTTGTGTTTAGTGTTGGGTTTAGTATTTAGGAATTAGGATAAATACAATATAACAGTCAAATCTTTTGTTTTAAACAAAATAATAACCAAATTTTTTCAAAAATAATTTAATTTTTAAACCGTCAACTTTTCATCCAGTCAACTGTAAGTTGACTATGACGTGGCAATTCTATTGCTAAGTTGGATGTCAATTGATGACGTGGCAAAGAGTCAACTATTTGACTATGCCATATGAATATTTATTATTTTATATAGTTATTATTTTAACAAAATAAAAAATTAAGGCAAACTAATCCCACCTAATTCTCATCTCTGCTTCTTTCACTCGCCTTCTGAATTGGGGAGAACCTATTCTATAAGAAAGAAATTGAAGGAGGCTTTTAATAAATTCATTCCCAAATTGTCAGGATAATATTTGGATAGCCGGATCGGAGACGCCCGAAGCTAGATCCGACTAATTTGGTTTCTGTCTACACCCTCTAGCCGGACTTCCTACTGTTGCCATCGAAATAGGGGATCTTTCATATCCAGTCACCAGCCCGACTCCGACGATTGTTCCCGCCACTCTAGGCCATCGCTGCTCCGCCATCATGGTCTATCTACTCTCCCGCCGATGCATGGAGAAAGAGGGAGATGTCGTCGGCGGACTGGAGACTTCGAGGAGGAACCCTCTCTTCGCTTTCGCCGCCGCCGACCAAACCTCATGTCACTCCTTACTCACGCCCCCCGCCATTGATGGTCAAGACGACAAATTTCGATGTCGTTATTGCTGCTCTGTCTCTGTTATCTCATGCGATACTTGTCTTCAAAGAGGGAGAAGATCCGGAGACGTCGGTCCGCACCACCAGGCAATGTCGTTTTCTCTGCAAACGAGTCTCATCGTCGCCTCGTAGTGGTGCAGAAGAAGCCCTCAAGTACCATCCCTCCTTATATAAGTCGAGGCTCTAACTTCTGGACTTAAACAATCTGAAAACGCAAGAAAGATCGATTAAAACACAACGATCACAAAGCGGATAAAAACCCAAACCAAATCAACGAGTTGGGAAGATGGCTAGGTATACGAAGGACTATTCGGCTAGGGTGATGAGACAGCAGAAAACGTCGGTTTCTCTTTGCTGAATCGATTCCATGATCAAGAAAGAAGAAGAAGAGAAGTTGGTGTTTGAACTTAAGTAACCAGCGCGTGGAGCGGGAGTGTCAGAGCATCAATTTTCAAAAAATTCAATACTGAGAGCGTGAATAGAGCGTCAATATTATATTAATAAATAATTATAAGTTCCAATTTTTTAGATGAAATATGAGCAATATTCTACAACTTAATCATACAAATTAAAGTCTACTGCTTTGTAAATATTCGAAGAAAAATATAACTTGAACTACAAATTAGACAACAGTATTAATTCAATTGCAGTATTGTACTTTATGGGAACAACTAATTCAATTACAATAGGTGAATAATACCGTTGGTGGTATATTTTCGATAATATCGACTTTGTCTTAAGGGCAATATTTAATCTCTTGTAATAGATATTTCTAGCACCATAGTTGTGCATTTCTGGTTGGTTTTTTTGCAGGTGTTCATATGGTGTGAAAGTAACTGAAGGAAGTGAAATAAATTTCATTGATCTATGAGGTGATAGTTAGATTTTTCTCTTTTACAAATTCTTGAGAGTAATCAATCATGCTCTGTGGAAGATTGCTAATGTCGTTTTTTTTTTCCTGTATCTTTTTGTGGAAACTCGACACTGGTCATCCGGTATACTCCGTCGAAGGAAATTACACTTGCTGGCGGGACTACCTTGGAGATGTTAGATTTTTGTTTTTTTCCCGTCAGTGTCGTGTCTTTGCTCCTCGGAGCTTCTTCAGAGCTGCCCAAGTAGTGGCTTTACAGGCTCTTTCATCGGTAGTCTGGTTGCATACGGACTAACGCTCAGTCTTTTAGTCGATCTTGTAATTGTGTCGAGTCTTTGTCCCATGCCCTTTGGGCTTGCCTTGAAAAAAAAAATTAACAATCCAATGAGCATCGGAGAAACAAACTAAGATAAAAAAGCAGTGATCCACCTACATTGAAAATCAGTAAATATCTCTCTCTTCATATCGTCTTCCTCTGCCCTCATTCTCGTATTCTCCACTCCCAATTCTCCTTCCATCGCTGTCAATGTCGATCCATCTCTCCCTAATAATTGTTAGTGCCTCGATTTCCTATTCAATTTCCGCCCCGTAACTTCCTAGTCTCCTTCATTGCTTCACCTCTCCTTAACAGCCTTACTCGTCCGCCTCTGTTCCTCCGCCATGACTACATAGAGGGAAGGCTTTTTGTAGTAGTCATCGTCGGGATCATGTACGCCCCTTGTAGTCTCTTCGGAGGAAATCGCCTGTCCATCAAGCTCTCCGGTGGGGCTTCGAGTGAGAACCTGACGAAGTAGAGGATCAAATTCGCCCAATTCATTCACATGCAGCTCTCCCTCTTCAAACCCAGTTCTGGAAATCTTTTATCCATCATCATGATCAGACCCTCGATAACTCCGAGGTACAGTTAATTGAAGGAAGCTTGAATCATCGTGGCTGCCGGGGATCATCCTCCTCCTTCCTCGACCATTTCATCATCGCTTCTGTAGGGGGATGAAGCGATCCATAGGAAATGAATTCATCTATGGAAAACCTAACTGAAGATACCAACCGGGAAAAATGGTAGATGATATGATCGAAATTGTTCGTTCAAGGAGAAACAAGGGAAGAACTCTGATTCGCGTTTTAATTTCCTTAAATCGCGCTCCAATGAAATTAAATTCGTGAATTTCCTGCAAATCGATTAAAATCCGCGTTTACACGTTTTGGAGCGGGTTCGTTGGCCTTAATTACACAAATTGGGTTACCTAAGTTTGAACTAGGGCTGGCAGTCGGTCGGTTTTGGTTTAACCAAAAACCGAAATCTCGATTTTCGGTCAAACTGAGACACGACCAGCTGCTTCCGCCAGCCGACCGCCCCTCCAGCCTCGGTTAGGCACAAACCGACCGGCCAGTTTTTGGTTTTGGCGTGGTTTAACCGGGGCAACCAAAATTTGAAGGCTGGTTTGGTTGGAGCCACCTAACTGACCGGTAACCTACCAGAATCTACCGACCAGCAGGGGAACAAAAACTAAAATCGCCTAAAATTAAAATCTCAAACCTACATTTCAATTCCTTTTGCATCGAAAATACATCTAAATCAGTAACTTAATGTCTCACGTTCATTAATTCAACAACATAAACTCCACAAATCACAATAAATCCTCCAGATAACAACAAATCAACAACACATCATCATCTATCATCACTTATCACCAGCCTTAGAAGAACCAACATCTGCATAACCCTGTTCGTTCAATTGGGGGCAACAAGTAATGACCATAATCGTCATATCCATCTTTCTCATACTCTTCCTCCGGTACTTCTTCTTCACCCTCCTGCTCATTCTCCACTGGAATGTTGAGGCTTGCATCTGCATTGCCAATATTGCCAGTATTCGTTGCACTTTCCATTCTAGTTGGAAAGTGTCATTAACTGAGTAAGAAAAAAAAAAGGAAAACAAAGTGTTAGTACATTCATACATTGAATTAGGTGGAAAGAAGGCAAAAAACTAAACAATAAGAGAGTTTCAGAACTCACTACTTTCCAAAGTCAAATTCTCTTCATCATCTCCCTTATCGTCAATCTCCCTGGATCCGGGATACCTTATCCAATCCTCAGCACAAATCAATGCCTCCACCATTAGGTCGCTCAAAGAGGATCTAAATGGACTGAGAATCCGCCCGCCATAGCTGAATGTTGCCTATGAGGCAACAGAAGAGATGGGAACAACTAGGACATCCTTAGCCATTTCAACAAGAATCAAATATATTCCAGAGTGTCGAGACCACCAATCCAATATGTCAAACTTAGCATCATCACTCTCTTCATTGATGCCATCAATTTGACATTTCAAATAGATGTCAAGTTCAGCAGAGCTACCTCCAATTTCCAGCATAAGTGCTTCCCTTTTTCTCTTTCTAAACCTCTCCTCCAATTTCTTAATCCGATCACCAGCACCTTCACCAAAACCATCATCAGCAATGTTATCATCAGTGGTAGGCTGAGATGCAGACTCTGATCCATACTTCCTCTTATAAATCTCAAACATCTGGCGCATCTCCCTTTTAATAAAACTCTGAATTTCTCCTCCTTTGATACGTCCATAAATCATTTCCAACACTTCAGACACCAGATCAAGTTTACTTCTAGGATCAAGCACACATGCTATATAAATTAAATGATTCACCTTCGTATTCTCCTCATTCATGACAGGTGTCTCAAACCAATACTTTTGTACCTTTTCTTCAACCGTTTCTGCCATCTTTTGGAGCTCTTCATGCGGATCATTCTTCAATTCCTCAATGATGTCATAAACTGGAACAAGTTTCTTGAAGAAAAGATGGGTAGTCACATATTTAGTTCCTGCAATGAGAATAGAATACAGGAAATTAGACTTAAACAAACCAAAATTGTCAAATGATCAAATTAAAATAAAACAAAGTGAGCAAAAGTTCCACTTATCGGAGACTAGGAGGGTAAAGTCATTAAAGACTTTCAGATACTTCATCAACTTCCTAATCCGCTGCCAATCTTGTTCAGTCGGAAGACCACCTCTTGCGTCAACATAATCCCTGAAGTAATGATCATGTATACTTGAATACAAAGTTGTAAACACTTCAACAAACCTTTCTGATGCTTCTAACATGATATAGGTGAAGTTCCACCTGGTCGGTACATCCAAACACACTAATTTGGTTTACTCCAACTCCATAAATTGCATGGCAGTCTTGAACCTTGTCAACATAGATGGTGATGACCTCACCTACTTCACACGGTCCCGAATTCTATCCACAACTCCTTCGATTACTTTCAATCCATCCTGCACCACCAGATTAATGATGTGTGCGACACAACGAAACTGCAGATACTTCCCATCCATCAAATCACACCCCCACTCCTTTAATTTCGTTCTCATGCAATCACTCACAATATCATTTGTAAATTCATTGTCCATGGTCATGCAGAACAGATTCTTCACCTTCCATTCTTCAAGAATTTCTGCAAGCTTCTCTGCAATATCATTTCCTGTATGACTTGTGATGGGAACAAAGGAGAGAACCTTCTTCTGCAACTTCCAATCAACTCCAACAAAGTGAGCAGTCACACACTTGTAATTTTTGTTGTTGTCAGATGTCCATGTATATGTGGTGATTAAAACTCTGCCTTTGCTCTTTGATTCAAAAAACTCTATCAAATTCATTTTTTTTTCTCCAAGAATATATGAAAGCAATCGTCTCTTATACCTCTCCTCCCAGGTATCTTAAACAGTGGCCAAACCGTTTGCATAAACTGCTTAAACCCTTCTCTTTCCACAAAGCGAAAAGACAACTCATTCATAATAATCATCATGGCTAAGGCATATCTAGCTTTTGCTTGATCAAACTTCCATAAAGCACTTACTTGACTTTGAATGCCATCTGCGGCCTGCAAGTTCAGAACAGTCTGATCCCTGGATGCTGCAACCTTAGAAAAACATGATTTCCGATGGTTATTCATTGTAGAAGTGCCGTTCTTGGATGGATGTGCTTTGATTTTAGTATGACAATGCCTGCACTCTCCCATCGGATACTCATCCACCGCCACCTTCGTAAAATCCTTCTAGCAATCAGTTGTACTCTTTGTCTCCAACCATTTCTCTAGATTGAAGGGATCGTCTTTAACTTTATTTGAAGTCGGATTAACCGTTTCTACTTAAGGAGTCTCAGCAGCAGGTGTACTTCCACTACCGGCATAGGCGGGAGTCGATGCAATTGATGATGACGCCGATGGTTCAGTAGACTGAACAGGCCGACTCCATGTACGTCCACCACGACCCCGATTCTGAGGAGGAGGGGCTG